CAAGATCCTCCTTTCTACATGTTGCCTGTTATAACATTGTCCCAGTGATGCCCTGGAGTAGATGATGGTTCTCACTTCCTTCTAACTCAAATATTCTAGTCTCGTCTAGCCTAGTCTATTATTTCTATTTCTATTCCACTCCATTCCATTCCTGCTGTCAGCAGGTACCTGAGCTCTGCCTGCTCTGGGTCATTTGCAAACTCAGTCAGACCTTTCCAACAGTGCTTGAAGCAAACACTGACATGGCTTTTCCACACCACAGCAGGCAGAGGTGGAAGGGTAGAAGGCTGACGGCTTCTGGTACAAAAAACCCCACCAAACTGCAGTAATTTTAGCAGAAGTCAGTGATTATTTTGCTCCACACAGAGGAGGTTTCCAGGAAAGAGATTTATGTCCATAGATTCAGAATTTCATTATGTTCTAGTGCAAACTGTCAGACGTGGGCCATAAAGGAAGGGTCATCAGCAAAGAGAGGACAAAGGGATCAGTTTCCATCCACGAGGGTCAGAGACACCATCCAACCCCCACTTCTCTGGGCTCTGACTGTGCACACACACAGGACAGGGGGACCCCAGTGAAAAAAACAGACCTTGGGATTAGATTAGACTAGAATAGATTAGATTGGGTGGATGATTAGAGCAGCTGCCCACCTCATGCTTTTCTAGTGTGACACCTGTCTGGAGATGTTTCTGGCCACCACAACTCATTCCCAATCGGCCCACACTTCCCAGACCAAGCTCAGAGCAGCCATTTAAACCCAGGTGGCAAAGGCAGGGGATGGAAAGCAAACCCAGCTGCTGATCCTCATTCTCTCCCCCCACAGACCATCCTGGACCACATGCACCTGAAGTGCAAGTGCCACGGGCTGTCGGGGAGCTGTGAGGTGAAGACCTGCTGGTGGGCCCAGCCCGATTTCCGGGCCATCGGGGACTTCCTGAAGGATAAATACGACAGCGCCTCGGAGATGGTGGTGGAAAAGCACCGGGAATCCCGGGGCTGGGTGGAAACTCTCAGGGCCAAGTACGCGCTTTTCAAGCCGCCCACGGAGCGGGACCTGGTCTACTATGAGAACTCGCCCAACTTCTGCGAGCCCAACCCCGAGACGGGCTCCTTTGGGACCAGGGACAGGACCTGCAATGTCACCTCCCACGGCATCGACGGCTGTGACCTGCTGTGCTGCGGCCGCGGCCACAACACCCGGACTGAGAAGCGCAAGGAGAAGTGTCACTGCATCTTCCACTGGTGCTGCTACGTGAGCTGCCAGGAGTGCACCCGCGTCTACGATGTCCACACCTGCAAGTAGGCCCAGGGAGGTGTCCACTCGTGGAGGTGCCCCAGGGCAGGGCCCAGGGGTGCAGCCCCCGTGGCCTCACACTGCAGAGGACGGCACAGAACTGCTGGTGGCCCCAGCCCCTCACCCGGGTCAGGGCTGGCCTGGTGCTGCAGCTCGGTGGATCTGTGACTGCTGTTCCCAGGGGACAGGCAGGGACGGGGGAGCCCAAGCCAGGCCTGGCCATGGCAGGCAGAGCTGCCACAGCACACCCTGAGCTCTGTCCTAGGCCAGAGGTCCTGCCTGTGCAGACACCAGTACAGGGGTCAGGTGGAAATGGGTTTTACACAGTGAGAGCTGAGCAGACACAGCTCCCCCACTGCTGTTCTGGGCTTGGCAGATGTGGTGGGGAAGAGGGAAGGAGGCAAATCCTCACACCAGCCCAGCTCCCTCCTGCCTGCTCCAAGGAGACAATGCTGGAGAACCAAACCTGTCTGAGCACACAGAGCCCACGGGTGGTCTCTCCTTCCCTCTCCCCTCTGATCTCCCTGCTCCCCACAGCCCCACATCTCCTACAGTCCCCTGGGGAGGATGGCAGGAAGGCAGAGCCCAGAGCTGATCCTCCAGCACGTGGCCCAGGACAAGGGGAGGGCACAGGGCACTGCTGGCACCTCTCACAGGGGACACAGCCCATCCCAGTGCCCAGGTGGATCTCAAGGATCTGGGATCCACCAGATCCACATCTATTGACTAAGTATTCCCTGACATGACTTTATATCCCAGAGGGAGCTCAGGGATGCCCCTGGGGACAGGTGACCTGCCAGGTGAGCTGCTGCTCCAGCTCTGGACATCAGTGACTCTGGGGAGACAGAGGCCACGGAGAGAGGGAATGTCTGTCCCAGGCCTCCCCATCAGACACGTGTGGTCCAACCACTGCACCCAGCAAGAGAGAGGTGAGGGAGACAGGGAAGGGAGAGCTGTATCCCACAGCACAACCCCCGGCAGACCCTCCCCTTCCCACAGGATCTGCTGAGCTGTCAGTTGTCCATGAAGGCCCCACCAAGCACAGAGGCTCCAAACCATCAGCAGGGATTTGGGCCCCACCTCAGTGCAGGAGAACCAAGGTTTGTCCCACCACTGCTCCCCAGGCCCCCTCCCCTCTCTGAGCACACTCCTCACTCTGGGCTCACCTTTTCAGGGGGTAACTGACCCTGCAAATCCAAAAAACAAGACTCCCTCTGTCCTGGGGAGCTCCAGGACCAACAGCCCTGTTCGAAGGCACTGCTGACACAGCAGTGATTCCACAGGGAATCGTGGCCAGCCCATCCCAGCTGTGGCTGCTGCTCCACTCCCTCCTTTCTCCAAGGGAAGGAGCAGCACAAAGAGCAATAAAGGGGTGAGGGACCCTCCCAGGGGGCACAGAGAGGACCCAGCCCTCACACCTGTGTGGGGACAACCAGAGCAAAATTCCAGGTCCTTCCTGGGCAGAGTGAGAGGAGCTCCTGGACTCACATGGCCAGAGGAGCCTCCACTTCCAAAAAATAAAATCACAGAGAGCTCAAAAGCCCTCCCCACTCAGAGCCAAGCCGTCCTCTGATATGCATCTATTTAAAGTATATATTAAATTCCATGTCTGGAAAGACTCCCAGTACCTGACTTTAAACAAAATCCCCCTTTTGTTTGTTTTTTAATCAAGAAAAGGTATTTAATATTAAATAGAACATTTATTGCCTTGTAATTATTTTACTGTAGCCAGGTATTCTAGCACTGAATGGAAGATCTTTTTCCATCAATCTGCTGTATCCAAAGTTTTGTATAAAGTTGTAGAGGTCGTTTTTTTTTTATTTTATATTCAGAAAATTTCTCTTTTTATAAGCATTATTTATTATACAATGTATATACTTGAGTTAACTAAGATTATATATTATATAAATATATATATTTGGAGAAAAATATATTTCAACTTGCATTTTTTTTGTGGTACACCATTAAAGAGAAGGTATAAAAAATCAAAAATATGCACTTGCCAGCTTGTGTGGTTTGGGTCCTTCAGGTCCTGCTGAAGTGGTGGGTCGTTATCCAGCTGCTTATGGGCAGTGGTTTGGGTTGGAAGGGACCTTAAAGACCATCTAGTTCTTACACCCCACCATGGACAGGGATATGAATGCAAGACCATGGCAAAATGTAGCCAACAAAGGAGATTTTATAGCTGAATGCTGAGCTTTGGGTTTAGAAGTGTCATGAGCTGTGTGCACAACACAGCACAAAATCATGGAAACATTAGGGTTGGAAAAGACCTTTAAGATCAAGTCCAACTGTTCCCCCAGCACTGCCAAGGCCACCACTGACCCGTGTCCCCAAGTGCCACATCCACAGGGCTTTTCAATCCCTCCAGGGACAGGGACTTCACCCCTGTCCTGGGCAGCTGTGCCAGGGCTGGACAGCCCTTTCCATGAAGGGATTTTCCCAATATCCAGCCTGACCCTCCCCTGGCACAGCTTGAGGCCATTTCCTCTCATCCTGTCCCTTGTTCCTTGGGAGCAGAGCCCGAATCCCCCCGGCTCCCCCCTCCTGTCAGGGAGTTGTAAAGAGACAGAAGATTAAATTAGTCTTAATGGATTAAAACAGGTTTTAGACTTCATACACTCCCCCATGTGCCCCTAGGCTGTCACTGAATCATCTTCCAGTGGTTTGGACAGACCAAGATCCAAATTTCCTCACATAAAAACATCTCCTCTCCTGTCCAGGAATAATTTGTGGGTGTTTCTGCAGAGTCACCCCCGTGCTAACCATGTTTTTAAGTGCACATGGTTTTCCACAGCACTGGCCTCAAACACACCTGTCTGAGGTGTGGTAAAAGCAAACATAAAATCCCTGTGTTCTTACCCTGCTCCCCAGTTTGCACACAAAGCCATCCCAGCTGCCTGGGCCATGTGCATGGACAGTGCCCACACCGGTGTCTCTGCCCCACGGCACCAGCAATGCCACCAGTCACCCCCCAACAAACATCCTGACACACCAGAGAACCAAAAACCCTGACCCAGGGAGGGTTCTGGGCCTCACAGCTCTGGGGTTGGAGCTCTCTGTGTCTGCCCACCTCCACCACACAGCATCCTCCCAAACCCATCCCAGCACCTGGAAATAATCTGTCCCTGGTTAAACAACTCCATTTCAGAGACATTTCTGGAAGGTTCAAGATGAAACAGGGTAAGGAATGGGATGAAGAACTTGGCCCTTACTGTTGAAAGCAATATTGTTTATATCTTACATGTTTAAGGCCTGTGCCAGGCAGAGCCCCAGAGAACACGCCAGTGGTGCGGAGGTGCTCCAGGAGCCCTTCCCTTGTGCCACCTGCAGGAAACAGCTCGGATGGAGATCCTGGAATAGGCTGGACTAGGTGGGATGTCACACCCAGCAGGTCACCATGGTTTTCCAACAGAAACTTCTCCAAGTGTGACACAGCCACCTCACACACACACAGACACAGGGACATCCATGGGGCTCCTCAGCTTTGCAGGGCCCAGAAAGCTCCAGAATGGGCTGGACCAGAGACCTCTCAGCCAATTCCTTGGAGACCACGGGGGGTCACTCTGTCCAGGACAGGGGTAAATTCAATCCATCCACTTGTAGGCACCCCCTAAGCACCCCCTGGCCAGCAGCACCTGGGAACAGCTCTGCTCCTCACACGCCTCAGCTCAACCAGCAGCAGACACAGACAGCAGCCAGGGCATCACAAGGAGTTGTGCTTTTTATTGAATCCACTGAATGTGCAATTAAACCAGATATTTATTCATCAATATAGTTCTGGACAAAGACATGGTAAGGTTTACAGCGTTTACTCTGAAATATAAGTTACTGTGTGCTGCTGTCACCCAGACTGGCAGAGGGGAGGGAGGAACAAATAAATCCACAAGGTCATACACAAAATGAGAGGGAACAGCCAGCACTGGGACTCACAAGGGCATCACAACACATCAGCACTGCCAGAGAACAGAGGGGGGTGGCTGGAACACCCCCACTGCTGTGAGCACACACTGAGGACAACAGTACCTGCACCTTGGGTCTGGAAGGATGTGGAGCATCTCCTTCCCTGGACACCACTCTGGTACCACTGCAAGCCCTTGCAGGGGCTCTGGGCAAGTTTAGGAAGCTACACTGACTCATATCTGATAAATGGCTTTGATTTCATGCCCCACCACACTGAGGTATGTGCCATGAACATTACTGAAGGAGCAGAGCCCCAGAACCAGGGGAGCCTCACGCAGCCACTGGCAGCACCCCAGTGAGGCCACGTGGCCATTGGGAAGGACCATGGAGCAAAGTTTGATACATTCCTTTATTTCAGTGCAAAAACATGGCAATGCACATCTCGTGCACCTGCAGAGCTTGGCTTCCTCTCTGTGTCCAAGGAGGAATTTCAACCTTTGGTAGCATGGCATGGAAATGGGATGTGAGGCTGGAGGACACCAAAGCTGCCACCTACATGAGCTCAGGAAGAGCTGGAGGCTGGAACCAGCGTCTCTAAAACTGTTGTTGAATTAACAACAAGCTTTTGATGCCTTAAATACTGGATTTGGAAATTTCCTCTACTCTGATCAACATCTCCCTGCCCTCTTCCCGTCCCCAGTGCCGCTGGCAGTGTCTCATGGGGCCCCAAAATACCTGGATATAAATAAAGCAGGTGCAACATCCAGGCAGTCCTGGAGCTGGACTGCTGTGGGCACTGCCTGTGGGGTGTGGGTCTGGCTCAGAGTTCAGTGAGGGATGGGATGACACCACAAGAAAGCCTCCACCTGACCAGGATATGACAGAGCAGTGCTGCAGTGTCCCTTCACCAGACTGGCAGGTTTATTAGGAGTCAGGATCTCTTTGCACTGCAGGAATGCTGGACACAAGTGAGCATTGGCTTCAAACTCCCAGGACATTCCCCCATGCTCAAATCAAAGGATGCAGCCTGGCTGCACAGAGACAGAAGCACAGTGTTCTAGGAGACACTTCCACATGACATCAGAATATTAAAGACAAAGAATAAAGATACTGTATTGCACTAAACATGCAGACTCCACATGGGGCTCTGGGAAATGGGGAGCATTTCACTTTGTCCAGTGTGTTGAGCACAGAAGAGTAAAGATCCCAGTGTATTTTCTCCAGGTTGGTCGCTTTTCCAGCTGTTGATCTTGCACTTGGTCCACCTTCAGTCTAGGGTAGGAACTCTTGCAAAAGAAGCCAAATCCATCAGGAAAGCATCATGCACATGTATAAAGCATCAAGCACACACTGGAACCCACTCACATGTAGCCAGGATAGATAGTGGTGTGAGCTGCCCCAGCACAGGCACTGCCCTACATGTATTAGAAAGTCATTCTCTAGGAGATGCCACTGTCCCACTGGGCTCAACTACTCCCTGTGGCACCTACAGGGAAAGAGTAGGACATCCTTCTCTCAGACAGGAGACACAAGAAATCAAAGTTCCAGATTTCAGACAAACAGCTGGATTTTAACTCGAGGAGAACCTCTTCTGATTTACTTCAGTTAATTGTGGCCCAGTATCTCATGGAAACTTTAAATCAAGGGTGAATTAAGACAGGCAGAGAATTCAGACATGCAAGTTCTCAGCTCCTTCACACCTCCCCCCTCCCAAAGTGCTGTAAGAACGGATCTGACACAGCTCTGAAAAGACAGAGGGGCCAACAATGAGAGCAGATACCCCAGCACTGCAGGTTCCCCTCAGAGATGCTCATTTCTGAGCAGAAAAGGGAATTTTAAACAATGCTTTAAACTAAAAGTACTTACGTTCCTTCTTCTCTCAGCAGAGCCAAGAACTTTTTCACTCGATACTCAGGATCCATCTAAACACCAAACAAACAGGTCCCATCAGTGCTGGGGCACGGGATTGTTGGTCCTCTCATGGAAGGACTCTAGGGAAGTCTTCTCTAGATTTGCACCAAAATATACACTGAGTGAGGACTATAAACATTTGGACACCAGAGACTGTTGGTTCTCAGAATCTTTGTGTTGTATTGTAACAGTTCCTGTGTCCCAGAAACTCCAACCTGTGTCCCATCTGCAATCTGCACTGACATCCTGGATCTTTAACACACGGGGACAATACAGGAGATTCATTCTGGAAACATCCAGTACATGGGTCTGGGAAGCTGACTGGTTGTGAGATCCCCAGCTCTGTCACCCACTTGGCAATAAACAGGCAAGTCTCTACTAAAAAATAAAACTGGGACTTCTCCCTGGAGGAGGGAAGCAAAGTGTCACCTGTGCCCTGACCTCCCACCAGAGAGGCCAAGCACAGGCTTCACAACTCCCCCACCAGGTTTGCCATCCCCAGAGGAAAATTTCTTCTGATTCCAGGTGTGAAGAAGCCATCCATTTAAACCCCTGACTGCTGCAATGGAGGGGAGAAAACAAATGCTAACCCAGCTCAGGAGAAAATAAATCCTAACCCAACATCAGCTTCCCCAGCGATGCAGGCAGGGGACAGAGCCAGGGAGAATTTCTGCTTTGTGCTAAGAAAAGCCTGAAAATGTAAAACTTCCCAGTGCTGTGAGATGTGTCAGCAAGGCCAGGACCTCACTGCCAACTGCTGAGCTACTTTTAGATCAGAAAAATAAATTCACTGAAACAAGAAGATTTAAAGGAACTTGCTGAGGCTCTCTGAGTTATTCAGGTGGGTTTAACATGCAAAGGAAGGCTGGTGATGGTCAGGTCCTGGCAGAGATGAAAGGCCACCCCCCACCTGACACAGTGCTTGGAATGTGGAATTCCCAGGGACTGAGGGGACTGTGGCACCACAGAGCTGGTGACCACAGAGGGTGTCTGCAGTGTCCCTCTGGCCTAAATCTTCTCCACAATCTCTCCCAGTTGACATCAGGCTACAAGGGAAAGCTCATCTGTCACTACACCAGTTCTCCCATTTCTAGGTGTGGATGTGGCACTTGGGGACATGGCTCAGTGGTGGCCTTGGCAGTGCTGGGGGAACAGTTGGACTCGAGGATCTCAGAGGGCTTTTCCAACCTCAAGGATTCTGTGATTCCATCAGAAAGGCTGGAGGCACCCTGAACACTGGTTACCTGGATGTCCCCTTCCTCTGGGGGCATTCACAGGTTCAATCCCCCCTACAAGACTCAGCATGTTCTGTTAAAAACCCAACATGACCCAACACAGCTCTGTAAAAACAAATATCTTCTTTTCATCCTTAGAAAAACTGTACTAAAGCCACCAGCTGAAATTCAAACTTGCCAAGGCCAGAGTTCTGCTTCCCACATTGAAGATGCTGAAGTGGCCATGGCAAGACACTGTGTCCATGACCTGCACCGACTCCTGGGGAGGAACAGCACTTTCCTGCAGACACAGCACCTTGTCCAAAAGACTAAAGCAGGCAGCTGAAAGGTCACAAAGACCCCAACTGGACCAAACTGCTTATTAACAATGCAGGCACAAACCCCAGAGGCTGATCTGCCTGGGAAGGAGTCAGTGGAGTGCAGAGGAAGCAGATTCCAGATGCTTGGACAGACCCTCTGGTGCCCTGTGAAAGGGGAAATGCTGCTGCCAAAGTGGGTGGGACATTTTCTGGACCACCACAGGGACTGACCCTGTGACAGAGCTCACACAGGTGAAAGGACATGGATGCTCCTTCCTGGGCAATGCAGCACCCCCAGGACATGCCCAGGAGCCCTCAGGAAACAAAGGAACTGAAGGGACTTTGTTAACCTTCAGTCCAGGGAAGGAGATCCTGCACTAAGCTGTGACATTCCTGCTGGGAGTGCAGTGCTCCTGAAAACCTGCCATAAACCCCAAACTTTCAGCATGTCCAGGTAGAGCATTTGCTTTAAAGTAAATTAGGCAACATTACAGGATGATCTTTCAAAACAAGTTCCCATCCCAGTTAAGATACATAAAACACAAACAGCTTAGATTAAGTTTTATTTATGCTGATTAAGTTTTGTTTATGCTAAACAGAAGTTAACAAATCAGGAAACCCTGGAGGTGCCAAAAGGGGCTTTCTGGAACACTGCCTGGCTCATCCAGGTTCCTGCTCCAAGAATGAGAGAGCCCTTGGGTTTGGGAGTGCTGCCAGCAAGGTCCAAGAGCAACGCCAGGCAGGGAAGGGACACAGGAGGAACCAGATCTGGAAAGAGCAGGGGTCCATCAGCACCCAGGGCAGGGGGAAGGCACCCAGAGCCTGTGAGGGGCCCTGTGCTGCAGCCAGGGCCACTCCAAACTAAACTCCTCTGTATTCACGGGAAATCCTGTGTGTATCCATGGATCAAAGGTCTCCATTTGAAAAATAACATCATCAGGACACTCAGTGTACACAGGATGGCCAAACATGGGACACTAAACACGAGCAGCTGGACATTAAAGAAGGGCAGGAACAGCAGTAAACAGAGTCTGAGGGGAATGAAGCTGCCAGAAAGTGTGGGGTTACACAGTTCATAAACGTCCCACCCAAGGCACCAGAGCAGAGCAGGCACACCAAGAAAGGATTTTGATACTGAGGGCCTGGTTCAGTGTGATTTTAGTCTGAAACAGTCTGGAAGTCATTGACCAGCTTAGGAATCCCTACAGAGAGCACAGGGTGGGTTCACTGCTCTAACAGAACAAAACCCACCGTCAAATTCAGAGAAAGACATCATATGCACATTTTTTAAAAAGAATTCATTCACCATGGCATCTAATCAGCTGAATTCTGAGAAATTTCATCCATCAGTTGGAATTTTTAAGAGATTTCAGATTCAAATTTCTTTCTAAAAAGCTGTGCTCCAGCTCAGTGAAAGAAGGAACCAGTCCTGGACTGGTGCAATTGTGCTTTCCTGTAACACCCAGGCAGATCAGAGCTCCCTGTGGGTTCCAGTGCACTCAGCCCAGTGCTGTGTGTGCAGGGAGAGCCTGCCCTGCTCTCCTGTATTTAGAGCAGTTCAGCAGATGGAGTCATGGAAACACCTCAGACCTTTTGGAGCAGAACTGGTTCATATTTAGCTCCCATATGCTGTTGCCTCTGCTATTACACAACCACCTGCACTGGGTGTAACAGCACAAACCACCTTCCTGCCAACCCTCCACAGCAAAGGGGACCATCAGTGGCTCTGTGGGCAGGGGCAGCAATTCATGGGACAATTGTCAGTGCATCACAAAGGGCAGACCCACAGCTCTGTCTGTCTTCTCCAGCCTGGCTGGTCATGGACTCACTCACAAAACACTGGTCTGGTTAAAAAATCAATGCACCAGATCAGTTCAGCTGCACAGCCCAGGGCAGCACTATGGACAACACAGGTCACAGAATCAGTGAGTATCCTGAGCTGGGAGGGACCCCCAAGGACCATCCAGTCCAACCCCTGGCCCTGCACAGACACCCCAACAATCCCACCCTGTCCCTCAGAGCATTGTCCAAACCCTCCTGGAGCTCTGGCAGCCTTGGGGCCGTGCCCACTGCCCTGGGGAGCCTGGTCAGTGCCAACCACCCTCTGGGGGAAGAACCTTTTCCTGAGATCCAACCTGACCCTGCCCTGGCACAGCTCCAGCCGTTCCCTGGGTCCTGTCCCCGCTCACAGAGAGCAGAGTTCAGAGCTGCCCCTCCAGACCCCTTGGGAGGAGCTGCAGACCCCAGTGAGGTCTGACCTCAGTCTGCTCTTCTCCACCTCAATGAGCCAAGTGACCTCAGACACTCCTTGCATGGCCCCTCCAGACCTTTCACCATCCTGTGTCCCTCTTTTGGACACTCTCTAATACCTTTATATCATTCTGATACTGTGGCACCCAAAGTGCCCTCAGGACTCGAGCAGAGGCCACCCCAGCAGAGCAGAGCAGGCAGAGAGTGCAGCCACGGGGCCAGGCTGGGAACAGGGCTGGGGTCAGCATTCCCACCCACCTCCCAGTTCAGAACTGCCCATGATTTACAGAAACTTCTCCTTCAGCTTTGAAAACAACCGGCACTGAAGGTCAAACCAGCACCAGAACACGTCCTGTGGCAGAAGAAGGGCTCCATTGTCAGGGCTGAGGGGATGGGGCAGAGCCCAGCAGCCCCCCAAGGCCAGCACCCCTCAAACACAGTTAATACATGTGAGCAATGACTTACTGACTTGCCTGTAGGTATGGAATTAAAAGCCAAGGAAGAAGAGGAAAAAGTAATCTAGATAAATGACTTTATTCCCTGAGGTGACATCCAGTCAGAGCAGATCCTCAGCGCTGAGCAAGTTTTAACAGAATTGGGAGCAGTGAACAGAGGGGGACATGACTTATCTGCTGGGAACCACATGCCTCTTCCCTTCTGCTCTGCCTCTGCGAGGAAGATCTGAGGACAGTTCACTCAGCTGCACTAAACCCATTTGATGGGAGCAGGGGGGGGGCCCTGGGCTGTCAGGGGGGGATTAGGGCTGCACCTCCCCCTGTGGCAGCTCGAGCACCGAGGGCTGGTGGCTCCAGGCGGGGGATGTGCGGGGGAGGGCTCAGAGCTGCATATTTCTACCCTCTGCAATTATTTTCTTTAAAGTGCTGAAAGTGGAAAATAAAGAGGAGAGCAGCTGAACAGTCTGACAGATTTATCTTCTTCAGGGAAAGAGCACATACACCTGCACAGGCACCTTCTTCTCAAAAAAACCCCAGGTGATTGCTATCTGCTGGGTGGAGAGCAGAAATTCCATGAAAGGTGAGTTAATCCAACCCCTCCTGCAGCAGATGCTCTGCTCTGAAGTGCAGCTCTGAACAGCCCATGGGCACAGGGGGGATTTAAAGATCTCTGAGGACCAAGACCTGGTGATTCCTTTGTTCTGAAAATGTCTCCTCACTGCAGTTCTTTTCCCAATTAAACCAGTGGAAAGGCTCCCACCACAACTGAAGAGGAGTCTGCAGAGAAGGGGGAACCTCCAGGACCCCTCTAAGACCCCAGTCCTTCCTGCCCCAAAACATTCCTACCTGTAATGACATTTCTATCAGCATCAGCAGCTTCTTGATCCCGATCCAGACAGGCTTCCCTTTGACATTCTGTGCAATGGTGCTGCGCTCCTTGTCTTTGAAGTTACCCAAGAGCTGGGGGGAAAGAATTCAGGAAAAAGTCAGCAACAGAAGACTAACAACAGGAAAAATGGTATCTACCTCAGAAGAAAGGGAACGGGAGGCTCAGAAGGAAAATTTGCTGCAATATACCTAGACAAGGCGAAACACTGAGATTCTTTTATTCAATAAGGGTTCTTTCCATAATATCCCATACCCAACAGTTGGTGCTGTGCTTTTACACTGCATTCCAGGTTTTCTCCAGATCAAAGACTACAAGGACGCAGTGGTTCAAGCCACAGGAAGTTTCCAAACCTGCTGCAGGAGCATCTGTGTCTCTCAGGCTTTGGTGACACCTTCAGTGGGACAAGTTTGCCAGTTGGCAGGAAAGATTTGCCTGTTCAGTTTATTTGAACAACCTTCAGCACTCACCAAATTCCCACTTTGGCACAGAATAAGGAGCCATTAAAGGCAGGAATTTCTAAAGAACAGATAATCTCCTCAGCACCAAACACCCTCAGTGGATGCTGTTCCAGCTCCTGGGAGCTCGGCACCCTCCGGGCACACTGAGCTTAACTGGCCCAATCATATTCATTACCCACTTCCCTGCCCTCGGAATCTTTCAATCCACACCACAAACCTTTCCCCCAGACCTACGGTTCTCTAACTGTGCCTTAATTTAATGCATGAAAAAGTCATTTGGAGAAGCCTTAGAGCTGCTGTTATGACACAGTGTTACCAAGCCAAGAGCCAAAATCCCTCATTTCCAGCAAATGTTGAGTTTGTTTGTTACCCCTGAACTATTCCTCACCTCCAAGGCCTCCATGAGCTGCTCCCCCGTTGCAATGTTGGGCACATGGATGGTGGTGCTGAAGGCATTCAGCATCTCCATCTCCTGCAGGACGTCCTTGCGGCTCGTGGTGCCGATGATCAGCAGCTTCCGGCCCTGCCCAGGGAACAAGTGTCAGGAAAGGAACAACAAGAGAGCAACCAGCCCGGGGAAGCTTCAGCAAGCTACAGCTGATAAGCTGGCTGTTAAAAAAACCACTTCAAATAAAATTAACAGGATTAAATCTGTCAGTAATTGAAGGAGCCAATACCAACCACACAAGGGCAGGAGCAGATCTCGGAGTAATGGCACCAACAGGGTCCCAAAATTAGGGTGCACAGAAGCCCCATCACACTCACAGCTTTGCCACCTCACTGCTCCTTCTGAATCCAGCATTATAAATAGCTGGATCCTCATTAAATTTAAAAGCCTGAGCCAACTCCCACTCCCAAAAGCTGAATTACAAATGACTTCCCGGGGGAACAGCCTGTCTTTAGGAACCTGTGGGTACAGGGAATTCTCTGTCCCTGCACAGACAGTTCCAATGGATTTCCAGCTCAGGCTTTGGAGCACAGGCTGCTGTGAGTCCCTGAGTTCCCACTGCAGTGGGATGTACAGGACAGTCCCACCCTGGCAGCCCCCAGGTCCCAATCCACTCTTCACACAGCAACCCTAAGTCAGCCTGAGCAATATCAGAGTTTATAAATAATGAGCAGTGAGTGGAAAACATCAACTGCCAGTACAAATCCACTGCTGTTCCCTGCTCCTGCAGAGGCCTTTCCAGTGCAATTTGAATTTCCCCACACAGGGTTCACACAGGGTTCAGACAGGGTTCAGGATCATGCCTGGCTGATGGAAGGAGCTGCTGGGACCATCAGATGGGATCAGTCCCTTTTCCATCTCAGGGAGCCCATGGGCTCGGAGGGGCCTGGCTGGTCATGGATCTTTTGCTGTTCAGCAGTTTAGCTGATGCTCAGAGACAAAGTTCCTGTGCCAAACCAGAGGGTCGTTGGGCACTGACCAGGCTCCTCAGGCTGCCAGAGCTCTGAGGGACAGCGTGGGATTGTTGGGGTGTCCTGGAGTTGGCCTTGATGATCCTTGGGGTCTCTCCCAACTCAGGACATTTTATGACTGTGATTCTATACAAGTTCTATATTTCAACTTCATGACACAAAACTCTGTTCATCACTATAAAAACAAAACAATAACCTAAAAACTATTCCCAGAATTAATCCCGTAAGTGCTTTGCATTCCTTTGGCAGAGGATGAAAACCCATTTAAACCCAACACACCTCTGGCACAGACAATGCATCTCACAGTGTCTGTTTTTCCCCAAGTGCTGCTGCATTCACTGGACAGATTTTGCTCCTGCTCCAGGTGTTGGACACTGGGAAAGGTCCAGAGCTGGGTATGAGCTCAGGTGGTCACTCCCAGTTTGTTTTTAGCCCCAGAGCAGAAGGAAGGAACTGCTGGAGGTGGAACCAGGGCACGTCCCAGGTCACAAGTGTCACACAGAGGGGGCACTGCTGGGGACACTGTGCTGCCCCTCCTGGGGAATCCCTGTTGCAGCTCAGGAGGCACCACAGCACCAGCTCAGCCACCTCTTCAGAGGGGGAAATCCTCAAAAAAATGGGGAAAAGCCACCAATTCCTAAACTAGTGATGGAAATGCCAGTCTAGAAGTGCAGTGGGAGCATGGAATGCATTATTGGTTGACAAAACTCAGCTGCTGGCAGCACACAACACACAAAAATGGGTCTGAGGATCCAAACCTGTCTGCAGGTCACCTTGGGAAGGCACAGTGTCCTCAGGAAGCAGCAGGACAGCCATTCCATGGGATTTATGCACCATTCCACAGCCTGCTGCTTCCACCACCTCCTGCATGGCCACAGCTTCACAACTGCTCAGTGTTTGTTTCCTTTTTGATGGTCACTGTCCAGCAAGGCCAGCAAAATATCTTATGGAATTTGAGCCAAAACTGAGCAATTCAGGAAGATGTGGCAGGCAAAGATGAAAAGCCAACACACTCAGTGGAGAGAAAACGAGTGGAGTTTGATCCTCACCCCCATGGATCTCAGGAAGCCCATTTTCATAGACTGGTTTGGGTTGGAAGGGACCTTAAAGCCCATCCAGTTCCAACCCCTGCCATGGGCAGGGACACCTTCCACTAGAGATTTTCAGCTAAAGCCCTTTGTAGACCAGGATGAATCAGTGATGCTCAGCAACAAAGGAAGCCAAGGACACACTCCAGAGAAGGACTGAGGCCTCCATAACATGTAGCAACCCCTCCTGCAAGTGCTGCACCACCCAGACCCATCTGCTTCCCCAGCTCTAGCAATTCTCATAAAAAATTGTTTATTTTGTTAGAAACTCAAACTCCGGAACAGCTTGGGGAAGGGGCTGTGTTAATAACAGTTTGCCATGAATTATGAGCATTTTAGGGGGGAAAAAACTGCTCAACTGCACCAGAGCAGTGTGTGTTCCCCAAATATAGCTCCCAGCATGTGTGCAGTGCCTGGCACAGCAGATCAGGCATCAATCAAAGGGACAACAACTCCAGAGTCACTGCCTGAGGGATCCTACCCCAGCAGCTTCTCCACGATGGACTCTGTGTCTGATTACAATAAAAATGAGTCTAGTTTGGGGTTTCAGGAGAGACTAAAAGGTCTCACCAGGGAAGGACATGAGCAGCACAGGAATGTCACCAGCGAGGGGAGCTTTACCTCCTGTCCCTTCAGGTGTCCATGACTGGTCTCACTCTCAGCATTTCCTCCTCAGTTGATGGAGCCCAGATGACACACTTCTCCTCCCAGGAAAGCTGCCCACAACCTGCACTCACAGAGCAAACATTTCCTACCCAGCCAGCTCAGTCCTGGCAAACTAACCCCACTGAGTCAGCTGAACCCCAAAATCGGGCCAGCAGGCAGTTCCTGCACATACAAAAATGGCTCTAAATGCCTCACTGCCATTGAGGAAAACCACTGGAACAGGTCATTGTAGGAATTCCGTGAGAGCACCAGCTCAGTTCAACCTCACTCAGAACAAGACCACTCAGACAGTTTCAGAGTGGGAAAAGGGTAAAACAGGGTCCTCACTGTGCCATGTGAGCCCAGGGAGCTCCTTCAGACACTGGGCAGCCCTTTCTGCTTCAAACAGAACTTCAAATCCATCATTCCAGAGCTGGGGGTGTTCACCTGGGGAAGAGAAGGCTCTGGGGAGACTTTACAGTCCCTTCCAGGGCCTAAAGGTACTCCAAGAGAGCTGGGGAGGGACTTTGGGCAAGGGCCTAGAGGGACAAGACAAGGGGGGATGGCTTCCCACTGCCAGAGGGCAGGTTAGAAGGGATATTGGGAAGGAATTCCTTCCCTGTTAGGGTGGGGAGGCCCTGGTACAGGTTGCCCAGAGAAGCTGTGGCTGCCCCTGGATCCCTGGAAGTGTCGAAGGTCAGGTTGGATGGGGCTTGGAGCAACCTGGGCTAGTGGAAGGTGTCCCTGCCCGTGGCAGGGGGTGGTACTGGATGGGCTTTAAGGTCCTTTCCAAACCAAATCATTCTGGGATTCTGTTTAATTGGAGAAATCAGGGAGAAGCACTGGGGATGGTCAGAAATATGGGATAACTTCCCTAAATAAATCCTTGGTAAATTGATGGGGTAAAGAGAGAGGTCTATAAAATCTCTGATGGTTTAGAGGAGATGAGGGGGAGAGCTGCGGCTTCTCAACATAAAAGCCAGGGAGCACGAGATGGAGTCACCAAACATGAGATAAACTGAACTAAAGGGTGTCTGCTCCCACCACACAGCTCAGCTGGACTCAGGTAAGGACAGCACTAAAATAAAAGCTTAACAGGACAAGTTCACAGAGGGCAGATCCAGCAGCAATTCTTCATTAGGATCCATTCCCAGGTCCCTGAACTGCTGCTGTGGTTGAAAGCTCCTCAGAAGAGAACTCTGTAAAAGTACTTCACGTGTTTAACAGCTCCACCCAAAAGATGCTGATTTTTCCCTGCTTTCCTCAGAAGAAGCCAGGTCTTCAACTCACTGCCTTTGGCCTTGACCCACTGCAAAGCAGCCACTGTGACCCCTCAGCCTCAGCTCCACATCCAGCTGATGACTGAAGGGGCAGCAGTTCCCTTGTGCTCTTCAAACTTTCAGGCAACTTGCTCAGCAAACAAGTGCAAACCCACAAGTCAGCAAGGTTTGCCCCAAGTCAAACTGGAAAAGCTGCTCCCATCCAGCTGCTCTGCAGTGACAACACACAGGACATCCTGGAATTTATTCTGGTTATGGGATCACAGGATGGGTCAGGCTGGAAGGGACCACAGAGGGTCCAACCTCCCTGCTCAATTAGGGCCATCCCACAGCACTTGGTACAGGATTGTGTCCAGATGGTTCTGGAATATCTCCAGTGAGGAGACTCCACACCCTCCCTGGGCCTGTTGCCTCTTGTCCCATTGCTCAGCACCCCGGTGCAGAACCTGCTCCAGTCTCTTGTTCCCGGGAGATGAACCACTGAAGTGTCCCCATTTCCAGAAATATTCCCATTTTTGACCCTTAACTTCTCCAGTAGCCACAGTGAAGGTGATGTGCTGTGTGCTCAGCCCACAGAAAATCAGGATTCAAGCTGAACTTCCGAAAATCAGGCATAGCATGAGAGTAACTACTAAGGAGGGAGAAACTTGCCTTTTCAACAGCTTGTTTGGTGTCAGACTCATGACAGTGCAGTTCTAGCCCAGTCCTTTCAGCAGCAGAGATCAGACACAGGCACAGCACTTAGGCCTGGATTCATCCTGTCCATTTTTAGGCAAAGTGCCCCAGTTTGGAGGCCAAGATCCCTCTGTGCTGACAGAGGGATTGTAGAGAGGTGTGTGTCCTGCCCAACAGCCTTCTAGAAGTGGGATAGTCCCAGATTTCAGCCCTCTGCTCCAGGGAATGTACCTGACTAAAGGATATTGTCATGCTGAGAATTGTGGGACTCAAAGATTAACCCAGTGCATTTCCCAGCCCCAGGGGATGGATTCCTCCCCCACAGCACCAATGGTACCATCACTGCCCGACTGCCTGAGGGAAACCAGAACAGGAGGCTCACACAGACTCTGCTCCAAGCAATGGAGCCTCAACATGGCAGTGGAGTCTCCAGTTATGGAATTTCAGCAAATCCAGGCAGCCCCAGGGAAGGGCAGTGAGGGAGCCCGAGCTGTGCTGGGAACAGGCACTGGTGACATGATGGCTCTGTCACCCCCCAGCTGCTCCCTGTGCACCTTCATCCCTGGGTTTGGGGCCTCAGCAACTCCTCACATGGAAGGGGAGAAAACACCATTCCCCAGGTTTATGAGTATAAAGGGAACATCACTGCTGACTGGAGTGGCTTCCAATTCACACCAAGGGATGTGGAATCAGGGATGCATCTGGGATTAGATCAAACTGGGAGATTATTCCCCCCTTTACTTTCATAAATCAACAAAAGCCTCCAGCGTCCCAGCAAGGAAAGAGGCTGGGAGCACTGGAAGGGCAGCCCCAGGAGTGGGTCTCCCTTTAAGGGAAGGAGCTGGGGGCTCAGGAGCAGTGGAAGGGCATCCCCAGAAGTGAGTGGGTCTCCCTCTGAGAGCACCTCACTCAGGCAGACATTCCCTAGCCCTGCCCAGACTGTGTGTCCCGCTCCATGGGGATGCTGCTGGTGCTGCCCCTGGGATCCAATTGTTGGGAAGCAGCAGGGAAGCACATGTGAACGCTCTGTGGGGCTGGGGAGCGTCTCCAGGCCCTGTGTGACTCTCATGTAGATGAAGCAGCCCCGGCTCCGGGAGCTGCCTCTGCTCTGTTCTCAGGGAAGTGCTTTTCTCCCGCCTGGCTCCCTGCTGAGACAGCCCTTTTCAGCCTTTCCATCCCCCCAGTCCCTTCCCCTGCACAACACAGGGAAAATTCATTGAATTAAAGGCCCAAGAGAACATGGTTTATTTTCTTCTCTTCAAGTCAGTTTAGAAAAGATTTTTAATTGGTTTAAAAAAAGATGCTAAACAAAATGCAATGGTTTTCAGTCCCCTTGAACCAGCAGTAACAGATACCACTATTTAACACTGCTGAGTGGAACCACAAGCAGGAGCTGTGACTGGGAATTTAAAGCAAGCTCAGAGAGGTTTCTAGTTTATTTAAAGTCTAAAGTGTTTAGTCTCAAAAGAAAACCAGAACCTTCAAGTGTTTGCCCTTCCCACACCACGTTCCAATAATCCAGCCTCACCAGGAAGAGGGGAGCCCGGGAGGCAGCTCTCATACACCAATTCAACAGAGACACACACCTCGATGCATAATTAACAACATTTCATCCCAGAAATGCTTGTCTTCCACTCAGTTATTGCAGGGAGCTGTTTGCACATCAAGTCTATCCCTGCAAGTGCTGTGACACCCCAGTGAATTCCTGATCTGGGTCACAGGGATGGAGCAGCTGCAGCCGCCCCCGCTCCCACCCATCCCCTGTGGGGCTCCCACTGCTTCCATCCTGGCTCCAGGCTTTTCCAGCCCACAGGAGAGCTGGAGAGGGATGCTGGACAAGGTCCTGGAGGGACAGGACAAGGGGGAATAGCTTCCCACTGCCAGAGGGCAGGGTTAGATGGGATATTGGGATGGTGAGGGTGGGAAGGCCCTGGCACAGATTGCCCAGAGAAGTTGTGGATGTCCATCCCTGGAAGTGTCCAAGGCCAGGTTGGATGAGGCTTGGAGCAACCTGGGCTAGTGGAAGGTGTCCCTGTCCATGGCAGGGGGTTGGAATGGGTGGGCTTTAAGGTCCCCTCCAACCCAAACCATTCCAGGAATCTTTGAAATCCAGAAACACTGAAGCAATGGGAAACAGGAATTGTCTCCCCAGCACCTGCCATGGATTTCTCTCAGCACAGGGACATGCCTGGCATGTGCCAAGACACTCCATTTTCATAAGGAATGATCCTAAACCATGATCCCAGTCCCACAGAAATGTGTGGTGGTTTGACCTCACGGACCAGCACTGATGCTGCCCATGCATTTAAAGTTTTTACCTGCCTCTCAAATTACAGCAAACCCCTGAAACAGCCATTCCTTCCAAACAAACTGCTCCCCAAGGGAACTCACCATCTCAGAGGGGACTAGGGGTGTTGATTAACCCTCAGGATTATCCCCCTCGTGAGTTCCTCACTTGAGCTCAAATCCCCCAAGGCTCTCCATGTCCAAATTCAACCTCTTCCACAGTAAACAGTCACAGCAGAAAAGGCCTTTTCCTGTACAGCTCTACCTCTTATACACAGTTTTGTTTTTTTCAGTGCAAAAGACGCCCACATGCCATGGCTATCCCAGGGAACTTACACCAAACACACCCTGCCAGCAGCACTGCAGAGCTGGGGCAGCCCAAAGGGCCCAGCTCACCCCAGCCCTGATTCCCACAGAGCCAGCTCTGGACACTTAGAAAAAAAAACCCAAACCCCCCACATGATCAATCAAACAGTGACATTTCCTCAGCAAACTTGCTCTCTACCCTCCAACAATTTATGGCTTAAGTCACCATAATATTGGCTGTCAAGGCAGAGTCTCCCAGCCCCCAGGGCACTTCAAACCCTGCTGAGAACAAATCTCTGCAACATGCACAAACTTGGCAAGTATCTGTGAGCTCCAGCCCCGTGTCCTGCTCCTGGGAGCACCAGGTGCCAACCAAAGAGCAGCCCAGCAGCAACACACACTCAGCATGGTCAAATGGACAATTTAATATTTTAAATTCCTTTAAAAACTGAACCAAATCAAGTCCTATTTTCCCTACTGATTTATGGGAACAATCACGCCCTGGCACCGTGGAACACCCAGCCACACGTCAATGATTCCATGAGATTCTGGGATCAGAAATGGCTGTGCTGTTGCACACAGGCAGCTGCTCTGTTCCAACCATGTCATAAAACCTGGATTCTGTTATGTCACAGACTTCACGTGGCCTAGAAAGCTCACTGGGAAGATCTTTGTTCTCCCAGGCTGACAGTCACACAGAGAACTCAGGGCCTGTGGCACTACAGTTTAGTTCAAAGTCCTGTATTTGAAAGGTCTTTTCACCAATCTCTCTAATGAAAACAACACTCACACACAGGTTGCTGTGCCAGGATATTAAACACGACAAAAATCTGACTTCACCCAGGCTGAGTTTCGCTGCTTTTTCCTGACACCAACTTTCAAGGTGTTCCTGTTACGATGTTATTTATTCATGCAGATTCTCTCACACACAGAGCAGAGATCCATTGAACAACAGGGAAATGGCAAACAAGAAAGGAGGCCCTGCCTGCCTGTCTCGTTCAGGGTGAGCTGCAGAACCCTCAGCACTTGGGATGTTCTTAAATCTCATCGAGGCACAAAGTGCAAACAGGATCAGCATGAGAGGCACTTCCTCAGTCACTGTAATTAACACCTGATAATTTCAAGTTAAGAACAAATAAAACCCCTGACAACCACAATCACAGATCACAGAGAAATCGATTTATAAACAGGGAGGGAGCACCTGGCTGAGCCAGGGGTTGGTCTGGCCCAAACAGCTCCTCAGAGGACAGGCAGCTGGAATGTTTCAGCTTTACATGGTGAAGCTTTCATGGGTTTCCTTAGTATTTTTAGGACTGATTGCAGAAGATTCAGCCCTCAGTAATTAGATACTTCAAGTTGAATCCTTTGTGGTTATCCCAGAAATGTCCAAGTGAATGAAGAGCAGCAGGCTGGGATTAACGTGACTGACTCAGAGACAAAGGCACTCGTACCACGGGCAGCACAGCAGCTCTCAGCACACACAGAGCTCCCCCTGTCCCAGTTCCTACAGGAACAGGGCATCTCACTCTGCCTTACCTGAGGGGGGGCCTTCTTCAGCAGCACAAGCAGGGCTTGCAAGACCAGATTGGAGAACCGAGGTCCAATGGGGACATAATCTGAAAGGAAAAATGCACTTTAATGCCCACGAAGCAGATGCACATTTAAGCCACTTCACCATATCAAAACCAGCCCAGTGCTCCCAAAGGAAATGATTCCAGACCATCTCCAGTTTGCAGTGTTTCAATATGGCAAATCTGCCAGCATTCCTGCAGCAGCCAGCACAGCTCTCCCTCCCTGACTCACCCAGAAGACGCTCGATGTCATCCACGACCACACAGCTGAGTTGGGACTTGTAGGCATCGTCAAAGATCTGCAACCAGCAAAATGCCTCAGTGTTAAACTCAGCCACAGAACTACAACAGCCATGGCCAGATCTGCTGGTGTGGCTTGGAGAGGAATAAACTGAGAATGACACATAAGTACCCAGAGAGCAGGCTCTGCCTGCATTCAGTAAAGCACTGCCAGCTCCCCAGAGGCAGAGCTGTTCTGTTCCTTTACCCCACCTCTGCAGAAAGCAGCTGCTCTGAGGTTCATTGTAAGCAAGGGATAAACCAGCACCATTACTCCTTTTTGGAGCTGGGGCAACACTGATAATATAATACATAAACAGGTTCCCCACAACTGTACCATGATTATGGAGCTTTTCTCCTCAGGCTGGATATTGGTTACTCTGCAGGGAGAAGGGACCAACGTGGGTATGGACTGAGGCTCCACATGCCCTTCCTGGAGCAACAGTGTCCTGCCCAGCTTGGGATGGCAGCGGGAGGCAGCACTAAGGACAGCAGTGGTGCTGCAGCCCAGTCTCCAGCAAACTCTGACTCCAGTGAAATCCAGAAGGCTCCTTTTGGAATCTAAGTCACAAACCAGGCCCCCAGTTATGAGTACATTGCTTCTCTTAAACACCTTCCCCCCCTTAGAATCTCTACAGCTCTGCATCAAACTGATCTGAGTTACATTCTACTCAAGGCTTCATTCAGTGTCACTCAGCCTGAAGAGTGAGTGCTGGCCTGGTTCAGTAAACGAAGATGTTCAACGTGTTCACATTCCCCTGCTCCCCAAGTTGTTAGAACTCTTGTTTAACTATGGGCTACCACCTCAAATCTGTTCCCAGTCTCATTCAGGCAGTATCTATTCTCTCCAAGTGCACCCTAAGATGTTCCTGCCTTCACAGACAGAGCTCCAGAGCTGCTCATCCCAGGTCTGTTCTGCTCCACTGTCAGCCAGGATCACACCAGACCCAGCTGGGACAGAGCCTGAAATGTTCCCTGAGACACCCAGTGCCACAAAAACATTATTGCAAGGGGCTGGAGTGACAGGACAAGGGGGAATGGCTTTAAGCTGTAGGAGAGTAGATTTAGATGGGATATTGGGAAGAAATTCCTCCCTGTGAGGGTGGGGAGGCCCTGGCACAGGGTGCCCAGAGAAGCTGTGGCTGCCCCTGGATCCCTGGAAGTGTCCAAGGCCAGGTTGGACGGGGCTTGGAGAAACCTGAGCTGGTGGAAGGTGTCCCTGCCCATGGCAGGGGGTGGCACTGGATGAGCTTTAAGGTCCCCTTCAACCCAAACCATTCTACAATTCTATGATTCACTCAATTTTATAAATAAATATATGCACAGGAATTTTGGACCCAGAGAGAGCAGAAAACACCATCACGAGGGTGATTCACCTTTCCCTCCCTGAGAGAACCCAGAATTGGGCTGTGATCAGGCAGAGAGCAGGACCTGTACTTACCTTCTTCATGGCCTGGCACTTGGCTGTTTCAGAAAACCCAATCATCTTATCTGGAGAACAGATCTTGATAAAGGGGAAGTTGGATTCTTCAGCTATTTTTGCTGCTAGAGCAGTTTTCCCACTGTGGGGGGGACCTGAGACAAAGGACAAGCAATGAATAAACAAGGGAGAAAGCAGCTCTGGCAATGCTCAGTGTGGATGATACTTTTTAATCCCATCCAGAGGTATCTGCCATTTGAAATGACCTTTCCTTCTACTTGCAGAAGGAACACACAGACTCCTGGGCCAGTCCAATCCAATCCAATCCAATCCAGTCCTCCAGACGATGGCAATTAATAGAACTACTTAAGCACATGCAGACTGATTTGCCACAAAACCAAAAGAGAACATTACATAGTTTGTAGGACTGGCCACTGCACCAAAATCCATGAGTTTGTGTTTTGGACAAAATTGAAATGTGTTTATGTCCCTTCTAAACATGATTTCTGCTGGTATTGTGGCAAACAAGTCAGCAGCTGGAACACCAGGGAAACAGTGACAAAGGCAATTTGATTTTGGCCTGAACTCACACCAGGATAATTCAGAGACCAAAGACATCTGAATCCATGCAGCCAACACAGATTAATTTGAGGGGCTAGAAGGAATTGCACACAGGACACATGCTGGTCACAAACACACAGAATTATCCGGGGGGTCTACTCAGGGTTAGTTCCACTAAGCAACAGTGGTCATCCACCTTTCAGGAAAATAAAGAGGGAAGAGCTAAATATCAAATTCTACTCCAACACTTGTAACACAGATAGTGGAACCAGTTTCCAGCACCTGGAAACTCTCCATAGTCACTGACAATCTGGATAAAGGGAAATCCACCTCTGGCTGACAGAGACACCTAAATGTGGCTGTTGGAACTCAGCTAATTACACTGATGAGCTCTCCAGTGATTTCAAAGAGAATGTGGACAACTGACTCAGCCAGAGACACCTCCACTGTAAAACAGGCACGAGCAGGTACATTTTGGTTATTAACTGGTGCATTTTGGTCATTAACTGGTACATTTTGGTTATTAACTGGTGCATTTTGGTTATTAACTGGTACATTTTGGTTATTAACTGGTGCATTTTGGTTATTAGCTGGTGCATTTTGGTTATTAATTAGTACATTTTGGTTACTAACTGGTACATTTTGGTTATTAACTGGGTACACTTCTTCTCCCTTGTTCCAAACACAGGATTTCACACAGAATCACAGAATCAACTAGGTTGGAAAAGACCTCTGAGATCAAGTCCAATTTCTGACCTAAATTTCCTCCAGCTGAGGAGCCAGTTTTAACATCTGAAGCAACTTCAGCCAAGCAAACTGAAAGAGCCCCATCCCATTTCTCCCTCCATGTGCTTCCTACACATCCCAGCACAGGACGGAACAAGCACCCAGGTGGGCAGGTGACAGCAGCAGTTCAGAGGAGTCCCTTGGGGTTTTTCCATGGATTTGCCCTGGCTGTACCTTCCAGGAGCACGCTGACCAGGGGAGTGCGGTCGCTGTTCTTCGTCTGCTGAACCAGCAGCTCCCCATCGTCCAACACCCTCGTCACAGGGTCCCCCCACTTGATGATCCCGTTCATGATGTAGCTGGCATAGTCCTCCTGGTTGGTTCCAAATGCCTGGATAAAAGAAGGAACATTTCTTTTACCAAAAAGTGCTGCATCACATCAGAAAACCCATGAAACAATTAAGCAGCATCAAAATGACCAGGGCCAAGGCCCTGGAAGATGCTGAAGTGAGTCAGACCCACTGGTGACTCACAGCATTCCAGCTGAACACGGGTGCAGACCAGGCACGTTTAGAAACGTCTTTTCATACGGCCTCACAACCAACTCTAGTCAATGCAAGTTGCCAGTGGGTTCTGACTTCACACTGTGTGAAGACAATTCTCAAAAATGAGGCTTAAACCTCTTCCTGCAGCCCATATTAAAGCTGTCACCCAGGAACTGAAAGAGGCCTAAAGGGGAGAGAGTACATATGGCAAGGAGAAGAAATCCTGAGTTGTTCTTTATGTGTTCTTTTATTTTTTATGACTCTCCAGTAGCAACAGGCACAAACAGAGCCTCAGGGGCTCCCCACTGTCACCCCTCCAAACAGGGCACTGTCAGCCCTGGGGCACCACTGCCTGTGTGATCCTAGCAGGAATCTGCTCTCCCCACCATCAGCTGCACTGGGGGGCTGTCCCAGGACTCACACATTCCCACTCACCGGTTTGATGTCGTTCTCCAGGGATGCAAAGAAGTCTCCCCTGGTCACACGAAGACTCTCAGCCTTCTCCATGTCCACTTCCACTTTATTACTGGCCTAAAGAGGCAAGCAAAGGCACTGAGGAGTAGCAGGACCATACAGACCCCTCCTCACCTTCCCTGCACAGACCCAGCCCTGCTGGAGCAAAGCTCAGCTCCCAGAGCCACATCCAGCCCCACAGTGTCAGCCAGGAACTGCTGGGCACTGGGGGTTCACAGCAGGAGGGGCCATGCACTGCTTCACTGTGCTCTTACTGTCCTGGGAAGGTTTTAGGTGCAGAAAACTGGATACTCCATTCTGTTAAATGAGTAGGGAATGATCAACCAGCTGAGCAGTAACAGACTTTGGAGAATCCTTCAGGATTTGACATTGACAATCATTTCCCCCCCATGGCAATCCTTGGCCTTGATTCTGCTTTGTCTGGGACCTGTAATAATCTTGTGTGTCAGGGCAGGGTTGAATACCCTAAAATAAGCATATTAGCAGGAATGCTCCACTAAAACCAAGGGAGGGATTCCAGCTGGGGAATCACTGGAGCCATAACTGTGAAGGGCTTTGGGCAGCACTCAGGAATTACATGGATTCATCCACAGAATCCCAGGTTGGAAAGGACCTCAAGGATCATCTTGGCAGAAGCACAGTCAAGGCAGGATGGCCCAGCTAAATCTCAAAAGTCTCCAACGCTGGAGAATCCACCACTTGCCAGGGGAGATCATTCCAAAGGCTGATGGTTCTCATTCTGAAAAACTTCCCTTGTGTGTCCCATCGGAATCTGCCCAGGATGCACCCACTGCCCCTCACCTTTTCCATGTGACTCCTTGGAAAAAAGGAAGTTCCGTGAATCTTGTAACACCTCCCGCTTCCCTCAGGAGTGTAACAGCCCTACATGATCTGACTGTTCAGGAAGTGAACATCTGGGCTTTCAAGGGCTTTCCTGGAAGGCAGAGCCACCTCCACCACCTTTGCCTAAGGCCTAAAATAAGTTTAACCCTCAAAGATGTGTCTCAGACCCTCTCTGGCCAGGATGACCCACAAGAACACACAGTACACTTGGGCATGGGAAGGAAAGAATAATAACAATAAAAATAATGACATGCTGCTTCTCTTGTAGGGCAGCAAATGCAGCCCCTAAAGAGCAGCCACAGAATCCAGCCTGGCCAAACCCTCTGTGTCACACACCTACAACCAGAGAATGGCTGAAAGGAGTCCCTTCTCCCAAAAACACCCACCAAGCAGAAACACAGGATGCCAAATATATCAGCCAAGGGATCTTTAGCACAAGTGATCACTTTGGGGCTTTGCAGAGGGAAGTGAAGGTGCTTGAAACACTTTTAACATATTCCTGAAGTTGTTTGGATGCTTAAAACCAGGGGAGCTCTTATCTCCCCAGCCTTCCATGAGTTCTGTGTTTTAATTTTTCACACTTTGAGAGATAATCAGAAGAGTTTAAATGATTCAGAAGACCCTGATCAAATGCCCCTTCATTTTCCATTTGTCTCTCGCTTCTCACAGGTGCTTCTGAAAACTAGGTCAGGCCTATGATGTATATTTTAAATTTTCAGTACATGTAGGAGAGAATAAAGTACCTCAGTGCATCATTTGGCTGAAAACATCTTCAGAATAAATAATATTATCCAAAAATACTATGTCAAATGTTTGAAAAGCGAAACAAAGTGTGGCTGCTTCCCATGTGGAATACAAATCCATATATTACTGGGATGTCAATCACAACCCAACCCAAAGGAAGGGACTGCTCTTTCCCATTTGCACAAGGCCATCTTCCCTTCTCCCACACGACATCCTGGCACAACAGGGAATGTATCAAAATACCAACAGTCCCCAGACTCACCCAGAACTCAAGCACTGAGAAGACATCAACTACCAGCAAAATTAATTATTCAAGGAAAATGTTTTGCCTGTAAAGGGATGAAAATTCGTCCAGAGGTGCTGATTATTTTTCTTTTTAGACAGAACACAAGAAAATGAGAAAGTGTTGATGTTTGCAGTTTTTTGCTACAGGAAACAATAACTTTTCAAGTGCTATGGTTATACAAGAATAATTAGCAGAAAGAGTCTTTTTTCCTGTAGAAAGAGCACTCCCAGGAGATATAAATGTTTAACCACCAAATGATTTCTCACTCACTTCAATCAAGGTGTGATTTGCTTTCCTCACATTCAAGGCTGAGCAGATTTTTACTGATCAAGAGCTGATTTTACTGAACATTCAAGATTCCGAACATAACTACTTCCCCTTTTTTTTGCCCCAGAGAGAGATGACAGGACTGACCTTGATGTGTCTGTTCATGGCAGTGGACTGAGCAGCTCGAACCAAACCTTCCAGCTCAGCACCACTGAAGTTCTTGGTCTCCACTGCCAGTTCTGCAATGTCCACATCCTCAGCCAGCAGCTGGTGCTCCCTCATCCTCACCGTGTGGATATGGAGGATCTGGTACCGGCCCTTCTCATCTGGCAAGCCTGGCATTGTAACAGAGCACACACCAGCACCTCAGCACAGCACTGCAAACAACCCTGCCCCTCTCCTCAGTGTCCCTCCAGAGCCCCCTTCTCACCATGAGCAATCCACACTCAGTCACAATATCTGATCATGCTTTTCGTTGGAGAACCTTCAACCCCAAACCTGACCAGTGTGAAACCAAACCAAAACCTGATCTGACCAGTGTGAAACCAAACCAGGGGGGAAAACACACAAGGTTTACTCTCTTTCTTCAGGGTTCCTCCAAGTTATTGCTCTCACACTTCCACACCAGGAATTCACCTTACACAATGTGCCCACTCTCTTGACATCCCTTAATCCTGCTCCCACCTTGCAATTACTATGGAATGGTTTGGACCTTAAAGGAAAGGACCTTAAAGCCCATCCAGTGCCACCCCTGCCATGAGCAGGGACACCTTCCACCAGCCCAGGTTGCTCCAAGCCTCGTCCAACCTGGCCTTGGACACTTCCAGGGATGGGGCAGCCACAGTTTCTCTGGGCCCCCTGAGCCAGGGCCTCCCCACCCTCACAGGGAAGGATTTCTTCCCAATATTCCATCTAACCCTGCCCTCTGTCCATTACAAGTCACTGCTCCTTTCCTGTCACTACAGGCTCTTGTAAAGTCTGTTCTGTTCCTTTATCCCTGAGTGTCCTTTCCCAGGGGGTCCCATCCACTAATTACTGAATCAACTGAAAGTCTGCTCTCCTAAAATCCAGGGCCTTGATTTCCCTCTTCACCTGGTCCATATTGTTCTTATAAAATGTTCCTTTTCTTCAATTGAAGTGATCATTCCCCACTTAGCCACTTAGCAAGTACTTTCTGAAACACAGATAATGGAAGATACAGAAAAACCTTTTCTTAAATGAAATCATAACCAGTCAGTCTGGCACATCATCCTGGCAAAGCCCCACTCTTCTCAGCTCACCTTCCATTCTTCCTTCCCAGCCTTTGCTCCACGGACTTGATATTTGCACTGATTAGTTTGTGCTGAGGGGATGTGGAAAGACATTTTAAAATGTGCACAGTCCCCAGCACTGTTCAGTCCTTGTCACCTGATCATTTATTCCAGGGATGCCTGGCTCAGTCCCTGGAGTTTATTGAATTGAATTCACTTTTGTCAACCAAAGATGCAGGTCCTGCACCTGCAGTACAACCCACCTCACCTGCACTCCCTAATAACTGCTGGGCCTTTACTTGTTTGTAAGTATGAGACTGACAGTTCCAATTTCGCCTGCCACCCTGGCATGTCACCATAGGGTTTTTAGGGTTATATGGACATTTTCAACTGATTTTCTGCAATTGAAAAGAAACAAAACATGTTAATACTCATGACTTTGCCTGTTCTGGTTTTTCACTTGCTACAGTTTGAGTGTTTTTACACCACCAATGCCCAGCTCAGAACACAGACAGGATGTTGTGACATCTGTGTGTCTGTGCAGGACTGGTGGAAATGTTTTAGGAGCTATTCCAAACTCCACATCTGAAACTGCATTTTCAATCTCTAACTTAAAACACAGATTTTGACCAATTTGCGTTTTTCACTGCAAAACAGGATCACTGAGCTTTTCATCAGTCCCAGGCTGTTCTCTACTCAAACTTTCTGCACTGAACTGTCACCTCAGCACTGAGCTCCCAAGGCCAGGCCCTCTTTAGACTTCACCACGATCTTCAGTGATCACCCTGATCTCAAATGCAAAGTCAGTGGCTTGTTTTCATGAATCTAAGATGATCTGGGCTTAATTTCTTAAAAAGCCTACATTATCAGATAGTCCCTAATTTAATCTGCACAGCCTGAGGCAGATGTGTACAGTTACAAAGGTCAGGCAGCTCTTTTTCAGTCACCAGATGAAATGGCAAACAGAGCTTTTGGCTCACCTCGAGTTCTGCTGGAAATCCAGACCTGCTGATTCCAGAAGCCAAAGCAAGTGCTGGATAAAGTCTGCAGTTCCTGCAGTGGAAGTCACCACTTGTCACTTCATGCAGATGAAATGCTCTGCACTTCCTCAAGCCCAGAACTGCTCACACACTTTTCCTGCCTGCTCTGCCAGTTCAACAGCTCCACAGCTTCCACCCAGGAATGATCTGGTGCCATGATTTGGCTCCTTTCATTCATGCAAGAGATTCACGGTCCTGCCTACCCAGACCTGCCCATTCTGCTGGACAGAGGCTGAGATCAGGTTTACCAGTAGGAAAGTCCAAAATGGTCCAAAATATTCTGGAGGGAGCTGCATGAGGTTCAGCACCTGAGCCACCCTGGTCAGCTGTTCCCATTATGATCTGTATTTGCAATTTGTACCTACTGTAGGTACATGGAGTTTAGGAATTGGATCTGCAGTGGCCTTACCGATCTCCATCTTCACCTCCAGCCTCCCTGGCCTCAGCAGAGCCTCATCAATCAGGTCAGGTCTGTTGGTCATTCCTAAATTCAAAGTTAAAAACAAAACAAGTGTTATCTGAGCTTAATAAGTGGGTCTCCACCCCCTGGTACAGCCCACAGAGCTATGGAGGTACCTCAAAGACCCTCAAGAAAACAGACAGAAGACACCCACTGAGTGTTGGGAAAGTCATGCCCTGAGGGACAGTCAGGGCTCAAACCCATGCTGGTGGCTGCATCTCCCTGTCCTTGGGATTATCCAGGGCTCCTGCAGCAGGACAACCAGCCAGCACAGCTGGAACAGCTCCCCGCTCCTTCACAGGCCAAGACACCAATGTACATCAATCCTTGCAGGTTTTCTTAGACTATGAAACACTCCTTATGAAAAGCTACAGGAGGAACTGCTGAAAGCAGCGATCTGATGTCACAGCACCGCCTCCCTTCAAACCTGCTGCTCCCACAGCAGCCACTCCCTTTGGATCAGCCCAGCCAGGCCCAACACCAGCAGCAGTAACTCAGCTGCGAGGAGGAGAACCCCAGTGGTGCTCCAGCAGCCCCCAGGCAGAGGGAGGACCGTCCTACCGATGACCAGGATGTTGTTGAGCTGCTCCACGCCGTCGATCTTGGACAGCAGCTGGTTCACCACGGTGTCGTGCACACCGGTGCTGCCCGCCATGCTGCCCCTCTGCTTGCAGATGGCGTCGATCTCGTCGAAGATGATGATGTGCACCCCACTGTTGGCTCCCAGCTGGGGGGAGAGATGTGTCAGGAGTGTCACCACTCACACTGAGAGTGACACCAACACAACAGGGCCCTCCCGGCAAGCTCAGCCACACAGGAACAACACTGACACCTCCGTGTGTGTTTGGCATCCCCCGGTATCTGTGGGTGTGTCTGACCCTTCCCATCCTGCCCATCTCCAAACCAGGGTGGGTGGTGGGCTTTGCCCAAACTTAGGATTTCACAGCTGACACTGCTTTCAAGGAAGAGCACTAAACTGGACAAGCAATGCCAAGCCCAAAGCTGGAAAACAAAAGGTCCCAGCACTCAGTAGCTGGGGAAACCCCCTGAGAGAGATGGAGAACAAGGCATGTCCGAGGAGGGAGGGCTGCACCAGTGTGGGAATACCCCAGGTTGGACTGAAGTTAGTAAATACACAGCTTGCCAAAGCAGCTTTGCTCTCAGTATTTTTGAGGAGCCCAGTTAGTCCCTGCCAGTCAGGCCCAGAACTGCTGCTTCCAGGTTCACCCAGAGGTGAGGCAGTTGCAGCTGGTAAGAGAACAGGATACTTTTTGTGACCGTGTTATGAAGCTTCTTCCCTTCAAATTCCACCTGTAAAACATCTTTTGTGGCCAGGGCAGCCCATGTTAACAGTGGGTGAATGTGCTGGCCCTGGCAATGTGCCCCAGACACGCTCATTACAGTCCCAACCTTTCGGAGACCTTTCTAATCTCCCAGCCTGTCATCAGCCCCATCCCCTCCGGCCAATATCCAGGGGATTTTAACAGGTGTGTTATTGCAAAGGGAAAGAGCTCTCAGAGATACTGCAACAACCACAGAGGAGATTGCTCATGTGGCTCTGGGTTACCACACAAAGCTGACTGACTGACTGACTGACTAATAAACCTTTTGCAGAAGAAATTACATAATTTCAAGCCACCACCAAAATCTGTGTCTTGTGAGCGTGAATAAAATTAAAGGATCCTTTGCTAAATACTTCTGAAAAGACTCCCCTGCACTTAACCGTGACTTGCCTGACATGTTAATTTATCAGAAAATCCATCAAGATTAAGTGATTCACAACAGAGAAAAATTACCACGGTACATGTGAAAAAAGCATTTACACCTTGAAACTAAAGACTCCGTTTTGATAGCCAGCTACAGTAATGGGTAAAAAAACAAGTTTGGAAAAACAGAATATTTATCTCCACTTCCAGTTTCAAGCTCTCTAGTTTTGAGACATTACTGTCATCCATTAGTTTTCTGCTGAGAAAAATGAACCGTGTATTGATTATAGCACTTCAAGGACTATAATATACCAGTCTACCTGGAACCCAAAAGCCTGATACCTTGGAAGCTTATCTGGAATTCATCCTATGTTATGTGCCACCTGAACTTAGGAGCAAAAATCCAAACAGATTAATTATGTCTCTCCCACCAAAAAAAAGAGAAACTAAAACCAGCAAAAAATCTGCAATCCCATTTTTAAGGGGTTTTGAAGCAGGTGACACCACACGACCCAAAGCACAGCAGGACAGGCACTTGTATTACTTCCAAATAAGTGTGCATGGAATTTGAAGACTGTCCATGCTGGCCAGAACTCAGCTGCCTTTCCAGGTACTGAGCCTGTTTTCACAACTCAGTTGTACAACACAAACATTCCACGACTGGCAAGGAACAACTGGAACCCCAAGCCAGGCAGTGACTCAGTCTGTAATGCAGGCAGGAACTTGGTGATTCCAGAGCGGCTGCCCAGCCTCCCGTGGGCACAGCACCCTCCCAGTGTCTGTGTCTGCATTACCCTCCTCTGC